ATCACAGGGGGAGGCTGTGGAAAGGTTTGGAAGAGACGGTATTCACAGAGAGCTAAACCTTCTGGATCAGCTAGAACCTACTTTCCCCTTGCAGTGCAGCAGCTAATTTTCTAAGCAATCCAGCAGCACCTCTGAGACAAAGAGCAGACTCATCCTGAGCGAGAGTGCGAAGTACTTGATTTCTTAGCAACCAAACTTCTTCAGGCAGCAGTCATCAAGGGATGTCTTTAATTAGCACCAGCCTCAGGTACTTTCTCACTACAGGACTGTTTGTACTTCCTATTCATCAAAGCTGGCTTTGTGCTGTGATTGTGCTGCCCTTAAAAAAATGTTTATGGAAGTGTGGTTTATAAAACCCACAGCTTTTATTAGGCCTGTGGGTAAAGTTTAAGCCACAGTCTCTCTGCTTGGCACTAATACGAACAAATTCTCATGTATCACATGAAGTCTGGAGTAATTTATCGTGTTATTTTCCTGCCCCCTGCACTCGTATCTCAAACTGCAACAGCAGACACTTTGGTTGCACAGGGGGAAAAAGGTGGGTTGTTTTAAGTGAATCTTTAAGACTCTCATTGCTATCAAGTAACAGAAAAAAAAACAAAAACCCACAACACCCAGAAGTCTGAGAGAGGATACATGTTCAGGTATTGGTGCTCAGATCCAAAGAAGGGATTCCTCTTTGAGGTAGAACTGGAGGTGCTCAGGATTTTGAAATGTCTGTATTCACTCCTCTTCCTGGGCACTGCTCTTACAGCGCATTCAGGAAAACTGGAACCTGCTAGTGCTTCCAGATAGGTTTGTCATTATCAGCCATTCTTGCATTTTATCTCAATGATGTCTTTTGCCTGAATAATATCAAGTTGACAAGAAACACTGCCAAATGATAAATACAGAGGAAGTATTCTGACCTTGCTCTCAAGGTCTTTTTTCGCCAGCCTGTGTCCTCCCTGCAGATCCAACAGGTCCTGTAACTGTTGTAAACTGTAACTCCCTTGTGAAGAGATCACAGAGCTCAGCAAGCAGCCCTGCAGTGAGCCCCCTGAGCGCGGAGCAGCCCAGCCAGCCCCCTTGCACCACTGCCAGCCCCCTGTGCAGCGTTCTGCAGCTACCGGGTGTTTTGTGCAGGAAACACCGACTGTAACGAACGCGGGGAAACAGTTTCTCATAAAAGCTCCCTTAGGCCTTCACAAAGCTCCCCACAGAGCAGCTGACTCCCAGGGGGAACGTTTCAGCCCGCAGCTTTTGCACTCAGGGTATTCCCAGGCTGGCTGAGGGAAGGCGTGACGGTAGAGCAGCCAGGAAGATGCACAGCCGTGTTAGCAACAGAGCAGCACAAGCTGGGTGCAGCCTGGCACTACACACACAGCCCTCAGGGTGCTCATACCCTGTGCCGACATCAAAGGAGGCAGCAGCGAGGGCACCAGTGACGCGTGGAACTCATGGTTTAAAGCAGCCACATCTAATGAATGTGTGTGGCAAGGAGAGACTAACTGGGCCTCTCTGTTTCGCTCTGCTCTCGGCTCCTGTCGGGTGTCCAAAGGGACTGCTGCCCTGTGGGAGACCCCACCTCCACCACGCTGCCAAGCCCCCATTCCTGCAGGGGACACACTGCCAGTCTGCCACTGGAGATGGCAATATTTTGATTTTAAAGCAATCCAGGCTTTAAAATGTATAAAGCTTCTTCCTACTCGTACCAAGAAGTCTTGTTTAGCCTCACTGCTATTTTTATTTAAAGCACTTTTTTTGTTTGTTTGTTTGTTTTCAGCAACATTTCTTTTTTAAAAGGATTTTACTTTCAAACTAAGGTAATGCTGAGACACAGCCTGTGCCCTCAGCCGACCTGTACAGGTGATGTGGCCACCAGGGAGTGCATGAGCATTTCTAGCAATGGTGTCAGGCCGCTGTTACCAGTACTGTGAATAAAGGCTGAATGCAAACCCGCACACTATGGCCTGACGGTATTTAACCACGCCTGAATGCCCTTGCAATAAGGGGACTGCATCAAGTGACCTGGGTAATACCAACTTCAGATGTAGAGGCTCATCTGTACCTACGAAAGTCTAAGAGAGAATCAACGTGCGCAGGGACCAACCACCTGCTTTTGTTTCTGTTCCTTCCACTGCAGAGGTAGATTCTCTTCTCACGCAGGGCTTGGATTTGCTTCCCAGCTCGTCCTTTCGCACCCCATCAGAAAACGGTGCTTTTCCCACCAAGGAAATACAACCCAGCCCCATTTGCCCAGGCTGACTGCGCACTGCCATCAAGTGATGGGTTCTCGTGCTGGGATCTGTGTCGTGCTGAGTGTTCCCATAGCATCAGGATGCTGAATATTTGCTGTAACCGTCGTCTTTATTATGGAGCTAGTGAAAACCCAACATCTCCTCTCCTCAAGCCATATCCGACCCTCACGTCCAACTTCTAATGCTGGTGCTTTTACTTCTCTTTCTACCAAACCGTTCAGCGTTGCTCTGCCCCTGAGCTCAACTTTTGGAAGGCAAATGCCATAGAAAGTGCAAAAAAAATTAAATAATTAATAATAATATTAACATCTCAGACATTCACTGAGGCAAGAGCCAACGGTTGGAATGTATTGATTGGGTGCTTTTCAATCTTTGCAACAATCAGCCGGAGGAGGGAAAAAGAAACAGTATTGCTAACAGCTCAGCGTTTTCAAGGTGCAAAGTTAATTCCACAGCCTTAATTATGTCAGTGTATCGCTGGTCTGCCTTAAGTGTACTGCGGTTCTGTTGCAGATGGCGTTTTGTGTGTTGTTCCGTAGAGGTAAGTCTGTAAATATTTCCTTTGTGAGCCCGACCACCCGTGTGCTGTGGTGGGTGATCCCTTGCTGTCCCGTGGGGTGATCCCTTGCTGTCCCGCGTTGCTCCTGTGCCGCGCTGTGTGTGCGACCATCCGCAGATGTAGCTGCTTCCGACTGTACATCCTTCTGCCCGCGCGTGTCCGGTAAATAGAGTGTAACGAATGATGCGGTTTCCGGGCTTTTTGGGGGGCTTTGTTTGTTTGTTTGTTTTGGGTTTTTTTTATTGTGTTTTTTGTTTGTTTGTTTTTTTGATTAAACACAATTGTTCTGAGAAAACCGGGTCAGTCTTATTTCACACACACACACACACATGCGCGCACACACATGCACACACGCGCACACACTCACGCACACACACTCTCACACACGCACATGCGCGCGCACACCCTCTCACACGCACACTCACTCACACACACGCACATGCGCACATGCATGCACGCGCGCGCACACACGCACGCACATGCACACGCACGCACGTGCACACACACGCGCACACGCACGCACACACTCACGCGCACACACGCACGCACTCACACGCACACACACAGACGCGCGCACACACACACACACGCGCGCGCGCGCGCGCACTCGCACACACACTCACGGACGCGCACGCACGCACACACTCACACACACACGCACACACGGGGCTGCGGGGGCTGGAGCTACCGGGGGGGG